ACACACACACACACACACACACACACACACACACACACACACACACACACACTAAACAGTTCAGTCTCTTCCCTGACCTTTAGGTCGCAGCACTCCAAACTTTGAGTGAAAACACCCTGACAGCTCTCACTGGAAACACACACATTAACCCCGCTGTTAATGCGTTAATGCTAATRGACTGACAGCTCTGCTTCCTCTCAGTTGACTCTTTATCTCCACTTCACTTTCACCCCCCCCCCTTCTTTTCTGTTCCCTGTGAGCAGCATGAAAAGAAGTCTGCCTTTGCCCCCGTGCACCTGTTTTGTTTATTCTGAGACCTTGACRGATGAGCTGGTGGGTGGGTAAAKGTGTACAAAAAGGCAAATGTCCTCTGTGCAAATGTTATGTCATTTAGCTCAGCGTGCATTAAGAGCCAAACACAAACACTCCTCACTATTTTTTGTTTTACTCACATGTATTTCGAGCACTAGTTTCGTTGTAATTTAAATGCAAATATTGTCGCGGCGGTAGGAGCTTTAAAAATAARYATWWCAATTGAGGATGTCCCATAATATTTCATCTTATTAAACATGTGCYAAGTTGTTTATCTGYGCTTCCCCCCACTTGAAAGGGATAGACATGCATAGGTTTGTGACAAACTCCGCCCCTCAGCCGCCATGAGCGTTCCACAGGTGTCTGTTTCGCAATGAACATAGTGTTTTCAGACTCCTCTCCAATTATTGCATTTTTTTTCTGTTCCCAGGGGTATCTCACTATGATTTTTTAGTATGAAATGGCAACGAAGTTAATCTTTCACCATGTTTTTGATCAAATGGATTCTGCCGTTTTTTTTTTTTTTGTAGTTTATCTGTGATAAAAATGACGCTCTAGTTCAACAAGCTTAAAAACAAGCTTGGGCTTACAGCACTCGATCAAAAGTAGATATCACCAAAATACTGTATATTTGATTTAAATCCTGGCTGACTTCCATGACTCTGATCAGGCAAACGTGTTTTTGTTTTTAAGACCATTTAACCGGCATGCTTTGCGGCGCTACAAAACGGCACCATCTTTGTGACAATTTATATACATTTTTATTTCTCAAAACTAAACATCCTACAGTATTTTTACAGTAATTTTATAGTTGAACCAACTGTTTATCAAATAATGTCTAATGTTACAAATAATCTGGGCTCACTTTAAAAGCATGCCATTTCCTACTTCTGAACATTTCATCGAATTATCTCAAACATTAAAGAAGTTCTACCTGTTTGTTGTTTGTTGAAGAAACATCACCGGTTTTCATGGATTTTAATGTTAAACCTGCAGAAAAAAAATTTTGTAGATCAAAATGGCCATAGATTTCTCATTTCGTCACCAATCTTGGTGTCAGTCGCAGAGTTGTTTCAAGATCTATCCATTGCACTTATTAAAAGAACAATTCAGCCACTTGTTTTTTATTTTATTTTATTTTATTTTATTTTTTTCCTCATACCTAACAGAGTTACTCCAACTGATTCCACTCAGTGACCAAACAATCGATTCATTTCTTTATTTACTTTCAAACTTATAGAAAACACAAAATCAGGTCTGGAATAATGTAAAAAATATTTGTTGTTGTGTAAATAAGTTAATATGCTGATGACTTGAAGACCATTAACTTGAATAAATTGACAGCATTAAACCTGAAATATGTTTGGCTGTCTTCATAATCTATCAATTATTTCACAAGTATTCTTTTCTACAGAAATAGGGACTTTAATAAAATGTTCAAACTTATTTTAGAGCTGTTTGTCCTTTTTGTACTCATGTACAAAAGGCTCTATGTACAGA